ATTGATAATTGGGATAATGATAATGCTGTTTTACTTATTGATAATTAAGAAAAATGGAAATAGAATGTAGCATAAGTAGAAGATAAAGAATATTTCATTTGTGATAAGATTAGTCCAGGAGGTGTTGATGGAACAGAAAAGGTTATTAATATAAATTTTGAAACTCCTCATAATTATGGTGCTGCACTTGTTAAATGGACTGCTACAGTTAAAAAATCATCAAAATAAGCATCTTGGGGTATTAGATAATTCCAACTTTATGTTGCTTAATGTGCAAGTAATTGTGCAACATGTACTGGTCCAAGTGCAGAAGATTGTACAGCTTGTGTATCACCTTATGTATTATTGGATCCAGAAGATGGTAATGGATCAGGTTGTGTATTAAAAGGAGATTGGGTTGAATTTACATCAGAGTTTTAAGGTTCAAGTTGGACAGCTAATCAAGATTGGAAAGTAAGTGATGGTAAAAATGGACCAGATTTTACAACAACATGTGGGGATTTTAAATTCTATGGTGGTTTTGAAAAAACAGGAAAAGATGCAAAAATAACAAGAAAATTTAATTTACCAGCTCATAAAAGAATTAGAATAGCATTTGAAGCTTGGAAAATTGATAATTGGAATGGAGAAGATTATGTTGTTAAAGTTGATGGATTAAATGTATGGTCAAGAACATTTGGATTTGGAGATCCTGGACTTGCAGATATTTGTGGTGGCGATGGATTTGAAAATTATGCTATTGTTGATTTTATTATTGGACATGAAGCATCTACTTTAGATTTGGTTATATCAACTACTATTGGTAAAGATAATAATAATGCTTCATTTGCTCTTAAGGGATTTAAACTTTATTTTGAAAAACCAGATGCTTGTGCCACACTATATACTGAATGTAATTATACAGGTAATAATTATATTCTATTTATTACTTAGGAAAATCATTTAATATGTGTGAAGATTTACCCAATTTCTAATTAGCTAAATATCCAAGCAAAATTAAATCTATTCAAGTACCTGCTGGTGCTAAAGTTGTTCTTTTTGATGAAATGGACTATAATGGTATTCAGTATATTATATTAATTTTAAGGAAAAACTATCGAATATACTGAAAATCAAAAATGTATTGATTAATATGAATTTAAATTCCTTTAGAAAAACTAATAAAGCTATGTTTTAACAGCAAACAATTGATGAGATGAAATAAAATTATTAAAAATTAATTTCATTAATTACAAAAAAATATTTTCTTTATTTATTATATATATACTTATATATAATAATTTAATTTCATTTTAATAATTTAAGTATTATTTATTTTCTATTTTAAATAATTTCTTATCTTATTTAATAGTTCTTTTCATTTTTTAATTCATTTTTCCATTTTTCAGCTTCTTTTATAACTTTTTCTTTCTATTAAAGTGTACTATTTCTAACTTTATATTAAAGTTCATCATTAATATTTTGAAAAATAGTAATTGCTTCCTCAGTAAAATTAGATTCTCGATTATGTTCAAAATTTTCTAATTCTAATGCCTTTTATTTAGCATCATCAATAACTTATTTTGGGAATTTTAACATTTCAGCAACTAATAAGCCATAACTTCTATCAACAGCTCCATATTTGACTTTATATTACATAATAATTTTATCATCTTCTGTAAGACAACTTACATAATAATTTTTAACTCCTGGAATTTCTTATTCCATTAAAGTCATTTCATGAAAATGAGTAGCAAATAAACAATATGATTGTATTGATTTAGCAATATGTTCAGCAATAGCCCAAGCTATACCAAATCCTTCAGAAGTAGATGTTCCCCTACCTAATTCATCAATAATTATTAGAGAATCTGGTTTTGCTGTTTTTAACATACAACTTGCTTCGAGCATTTCACTCATAAAAGTACTAATACCTTTTGTTTATACATCACTAGCTCCTACTCTAGTTATTATAGCATCTATTATAGGTACAATAGCAGTGCTACATGGTACAAAACAACCGATATGTGCCAATAAAACACAAATTGCTATTTAACGAATATAGGTTGATTTTCCACCCATATTTGGACCTGTTATTATATGTAATCTTTATGATTTTCTATCCATTTCTAAATCATTTACTACACATGTTGAATCTATCACTTCTAATAAAGGATGTCTAGATTCTTTTAATATTATTTCCTTTTTTTCTCTAAATATAGGTCTAACAAAAGCTCTTGGAGCATTCCTAGCTACAGATGCAAAAGATGATAAAACATCTATTTCTGAAATCAATCTAGATGCCTATTCCATTACAGGATAATAAGAACAAACTATTTTTAATATTTCTTAAACTTTCTCATATTGAACTTCTTAATATAAATCTCTATAATTAATATAATCAGCAACAGCAGATTACAGTTTTTCTACTGTAAAAGTTAATGCTCTATTCTTTACTGAAATAGTCTTATATTTTTTAGGGTTTTTTCTAAAAGCTTCATCAGCACTTTACTTTTTAGCCTCAAAAATATAAGTGTATGTTCCAGATTCTACTAAAGAAACAGTTATCCCTAATTCACTTTCAGTTTCTAAACGTACATTTTCAATATCATTCATGCATTTTGTTATATTTTTACTTAATTATATTAATTTTTCAGAAAACCTTGGGTTTACTATAAATTCACCTGTATAAGCTTTGCTTAAATCAATAGATTTTTCAATCATTTCTTCTAATCTTTCAAAATCATTTAAATTCTCTTCAAAAGGTACTAAAAATGTGTCTTACAAAATAGAATTTTAACTTTAATCTAATTCTTAATTTACTCTTTTGATTAAATCTTTGATCTTTTATATTAGTTAATAAACTTTAACACAATCACTTAGATTAGCATTATTTCTCTTATCACTGGCAACCTTATAAAATTTAGCGTATAATTTATCTAGATCTGGAATTCTCTTCAAAAAGTCTTCATTTAAAAAATTTCTAAAAGAAGTATTAAAATACAAAAATTCAACTATATTTAATCTTTAATTTATTTCATATATTGATTATAATGGCATTTTGATCCATCTTCTCAAACATCTTTTTCCCATTTGTGTAATACATCTATCTAAATAATCAACTAAAGTGTTAGCAGTATTACCATTATCAAATTATTTAATTCCTTATTTTGGAAATATCATCAATGCATTTATAGCTGCTAAATCTAATCGCATAAATTTATTTAAATTCAATAATCCGATATTAAATTTCTATATATTTGTATCATCTTTATATAAACGTGTATGTTCTAATAAACATTATATACATTGTGTGCATATCTATTCTTCTACTCTATAAGTGTTAAAATTAGTTTTTAAAATTTTATTTATATTTGAAATATTAATTTCTGAAAAATCTTTTTTATTTTTTTCAATTACTTCAAATTCACATTATTCTAAAATATCTCTTACTTTTTTATTTTCACTTTCTAACTCAGGCATTTAAATTAATACAGTTAATTTAGCATCTTATCCAGCTTAAAGTATTACGATAAATATTACTTGGATTAACTTAAAGAACTAAACATTCAAATACACTAAAATGTTCATTATCTTAAAATTCACACACTTCAATCATTCTTCTGTCTAAATCTAAAAATGCACAATTTAGATGTCTTTCATTATTTATATAAACTATTTAAACTACTAAAGTTAAGAAATTTTAGTCCTAATCCATTAATAATATAAATTTATTTATTCTTCTTCAAAAGACTAAATTTATGAGTTAATTATTAAAATATTGAATATATTTATTTCACAAATACTTTCTTACTAATTTTCTCATCTCCTTTTTCAGAATTCTATTTCTTAAAAATGTAGGTACAACAACAGCTCCAAAAAATCCTTGTATTCTGTGCAACAGATGTCCATGTGTAGAATATTCTAAACCTAATCGTTGTCTATCAATATAAAATAATTAATTTACAAGGCTCCTTTTGCAGCTTATATAGGAGATATAGCTCCTTATCCTTTTTTAAAATTTGTCATTGGTGTAGTTACATACATAGGTCTATGAGCCAATATATCAATATTTGGATATTCAAGTGCTATTGATCTTGAAAAAAAATCATCAAATGCTTTTGAAGCTGCATATGTTTGATTATAAGGCATAGGTACTCTACCTGTAAATGAAGATAAATTAATTATAGCTGATTTCTTTCTTTGAAGCATTTTAGGAATAATTTTCTTTGTCAAAAATACAATAGGAAAACAATTTACTGTAATTATTTCTCTTAATTAATTGTCATTGTATTTTTCTAATGGTGCTGACTATAAATAATAAATTTAATATTTAAACATGTGAGACTCCAACATTATTTATTAACAATCCTATATCCAAATTCTCAATTTATTTATATATTTTATCAAAAAACCCTTCCTCTAAAGATTTATTAAAATCAGCTACTATAATTTTAAATTTTGATGTTGATCCATTACTTAATTCTTGGATCAACATTTTTGCTTTCTCTTCATTTCTGATAATCATACATATATTAACATTTTATTAAGCTAAAACTTGACAATATCCTTTGCCAATCCCATCTGTTGCACCAGTTATAACTGCCCAACAGTCCTTACCATATTTAGCTTAGATATTGGGAAATGGTTGTAGACATTTATAGATTTCTTCTAAAATTCTATAAACTATAAATGCTATTGTGGCCAACCCAATAATAAAAAAAAACATAATATAATATATTTTATTATTCCTTTGATTAAAACTTTGTTTTTACTTGATATTCTACCTTCAAAAATATTGTTAACATTTTTACTCATAATTATATATAAAATCATTGATTCTTCTTAGCTCTTTTGATCAAGATTTATTTTAATTATCTGGTTCTAATAAATTATGGAATAATATAAGTTAATAAAAATCCTAAAACCCTATGATACCAATATCCATGGCTAGTGACTTCCAAGCCTAATCTTTATAATCCTCCTCTAGCACATTATTCAGGAGTTATTGCTCCAGCTTCTTTTTCAAAATTTGTTAAAGGAGTAGTCACAAAAAATGGTCTATGTGATAATATGTCTATTCCTTCTACCTCTAATGCTAAGGATTATGAAAAATGATCATCAAAAGCTTTTGTAGCAGAATAAGTTTGATGAAAAGGTAATGGTAATCTACCTGCTATTGAAGATAAATTGATAATAGCAGATCTATTTTTTCTTTATTTCATAATTGGCAATATCTTTTTAGTCAAGAAAACTACAGGAAATATATTTATTGTAAGCATTTATCGAATGTCAACTTCTGATTATCTCTCAAATGGGTTTTTCTTTTTCATAAGATATAAGATCATACCATTGAAACTCCAACATTATTTATAAGTATTCCGATATCAAGATCTTTTACTTCTTCATATATTTTATCAAAAAAATCTAATTCTGTACATCTAATAAAATCTGCTATTACAATCCTAAATTTTGATGTTGATTTTGCACTTAATTCCTAAATTAATTTCTCTCCTTTTTCTTTATTTCTAATTATCATACAAACATTAACATTTTATTTCACTAATTCCTAACAGTAAGCTTTTCCAATTCCATCTGTTGCCCCTGTTATTACTGCCCAGCAATCATTTCCATACTTTTTCTTTATGTTAGGAATTGGTTATAAGCATTTATATAATTCTCCCAATAACAAAAATGACCAATATAATACCATTCTCAGGCCATAAAGTTCTATTATCAAAAATATATAATCAATCATTAATTTAATCAAATATTAATTTTTGCTTTTTATTAAGTAAACTCTTAATTCTACCATATTCGAATTCATTTTAACTTTACTTCATCACACTTGTTTTTGTAAAAAGAATTTTAAATAAAAAAACTTTTCTCTTACGATTAAGTTTATCATAAAACGATAATTTTGATTTTTAATTAATGTATAAAGTTCAAAAAAATAACTACAGTAAAAGAATTTGCACACTCTTGTATAATTTAGATCTCTTTGCATAAGAAGTATAACTCAGAATAAATAAAAATGATAAATTTTTTACTCCTCTTGGAATAATAATGTCACTGATTTTAATCACACTTTCATTAATATTAGCAATTAACAATATAATAGATGTTGTTTAAAAAACAAATCCATCTGTTGTCTCCTCTGATCAACAAGATTAAGAAACTCCAGTAATTGTTATTTATAATATAAAAGAATTTTTTACTTTTGCCAAACAATTTTACTTTTGTAATTAGCGTAAATAAATTTACTCTAGATAACATTTATGGACTTGATACCTTATTTAGTTTGTAGTTTACTTATTGTTTTAGAAAGAGAGACCCTGAAACTAGAAAAATAAGTTAAGAATGTTAAAATTATAGTATGAATCCATGTGAAGATAGAAATTTTTAAGCTTAATTTTAAAAAACCTATTTTTAACAATTCAATAAAAGTAATATTTATTGCATCAATCATGATGAATGGACTGCAAATCCTTTTGTAAAACTTTAAACAATATTTTAATAGTCAATTAAAGGAAGCGCTGCATCTAATGAATTTAAATATCTTAAATTTAATTTACTCGTTTGTTAAAACAAAACCAATAATAATACATGTTATCCAAAAGATTATATATAAGCGAATATGACAGGAGGATTATTAGTTTATTATGTTCAAGATTAACTATTAGATTTAAAATAACCAGAATAATTCTTTGTTCCAGCTATTCGTCAAGGTTCTGCAATATTTTCTTAAAAAGCTTAAAAAACAATAGTTGCTTACCATAAAACTATATATGTTGAAACAGATGTTGGTTTATTCATAGAAGATTTTTAAGAAAAAAATAGTTTTTAAAGTTTTTTAGAAAAAGAGTCATCAGATGTAGTTGATACTAATAAATTAATAGAATATGTTTATCAATTAGATCCTAGGTTTGATATTTTATTAACTTAGATAAACTTTTTATGATAGATCATATCCTAAGATATAAGACATAATTGGTACTATTGGAGGTTTATGGCAGGCTCTATATTTTACTATTTCAATTCTAATTATGCCATTTGTTTAAGGATTTATGGAATTATGTTTAATCAATAAATTTTTTAATTTTTCTTACAAAGCAGATGCAATTTATGATGATTGTTCCATTTCTTAAAATAGAAGTCATTTATTTAGTCCTCCTTAATCTAAATCAACTATTAAGAAATCGTTTACTAATTAAAAATTGTAAGTTGATAAAATTACTGATACCTCTTAGATTGCAAAATTTCTAAGGGAAAGAAAACATTTATTAAAATTAAATCTTTCTGATTTATGTGGTTTTATGTTGGGTAGTTAAAAAAAATAAAGAAAATAATTTGAGTATAGTTAAAATAAAATTCAATAAAAATTGGACATAACAGTAATTAATTCAATTAAATATAGTTTATATTAAGTAAACTATTCGAAATAGATAAGTTAAAGATGGTTTTGTTTAATGATAACTAGCTAAAATTATTCAATTATTTTCCAAAACCATGTGTTTCAGATGCTTTAATACTCAGTTAAGATAATAGTTTGTTAGAAAACTAGGAATAAAAAATAGAATTCTCATATCTTCTGAAAGAAGAAATTACTCATGAAATGAAGGTTTAAGAAGCTTATAAGGCTTATAAGAAAATAAAGAAACTTCATAATAAGGATTAATTAGACTAAAAAATAATTAATCATTTGGATTAAGATCTAAAAAATCTATTTGATAGTCTTATTGAAATAGATTTATCTAAAGCCTCATGTGATAGTATTATATATATAATTAATTATTAAGTATGCGAAGCTTAAATATTAGATGAATCAAAATATTAGCATATTATTACAACATATAAGACACATGAGAAACCACAAATAAAATAAAGTAGCTGAGATTTTCAATAAATGGTGGTTATTATAATTATTTTCTTAAAAATAATTAAAATTATTCAATGATGTTTAATTTTTGAATCTTCGCCCATCACTTATTCCACATAACTTTGAAAAGCAGTGTTTTTTCTTCCTGAAGATCTTAACAATTAAATAATCCAAATAAGTACTGCTAATAGATGTAATAATGTGATTATATATATAAAGACCTTTAATTTTGGATTAATGCTTCCTGGTAAAAAAACAAGATCGCTAAGAAATTCCATTTTTAAATTTATTAAATAACAATTATTATCAAACTTTCTAAATTTCATTTTAAATCTAATTATTTTCTATTTAACTTTCATTCTAGGGTTACTCTTATACATTTTGCTCTTTCTCATATGATTTTGTTTCAATAGGCTTTTATTCATTTACTAAACTTTTTTCAATTGATTCATTTTTAATCAAAGATTATTTATCTTCAACTTTTATATCAATTTCTAACTCCTTTTCTTCTTTCTCTTCAGATTCAATTTTTTGATGAAATTATTAAATATCTTATTCAATTATTTATATTTCTTCAGCACTCAATCCCATTTAAAATCCATTATTTTAATTTAGATTAGATTTATTATTATTATTCTTAGGTTCATACATGTGAATCATACGCTTTAATGAATCTTATAATTTTGTTTTTTTCAGTTATTATGTTTAATCCATTATTAATGTAAATTTCTTTATCTATTTAATATCTTCTACATGTTCTGAATCTTTTATATTTATTTACTTTAGTTCTAAAATATGAAAATTATACTCAGATCCTAAAAGCAAAAATTTAGCTTCAAAATTAATTGGTTTTCCTGTTTATAATTTTGTAAATATTTCAAGAGGAAATAATTTTGAATTTACACCTAAGGCAATATCTGATATATCTTCAGTTGTTTCTGTTGGATCCATTTTTATATATACCCAATAATTAAATGGAAAGTTTTGATCATAGTTAGATTTTGTTTAAACATAATCACTAATTTAATTATATAATAAATACCCTTTCCATGAAATAATTTTATTTTTAAAATGAGTTTCAAATTGATGTCTTGCTTTAAGTCCATTCTCAACAAACTAAAATTTACCACAAAATTGTAAAAAATCCATCCATGATTTATCAGTTTATAAATCAAATTCTATTTTTTTTGATTCTTTTTCTACAATGTATTCAAAGTAAAAGAATAAAAGAAATATTATACTCAATAGAATCATGAAATACTTTCTTGATACTACAATAATACAATTTCCAAATCTAAATTGCAATACTTAATCATTTATATTTGGCAATTAAAAATAATTCCTTTTTTCTAATTCAGAATTGCAATAATAACATCTTTTTATTATTATCTATGTGTTTTATTTTATTTACCTTAGTTGATTAAAATACTAATGGTATGATAAAAATACACCATATTCCACAATATAGAAGGCAAAATAAAGAAATTATATATGATGCTGGAGAAAGTACTTATTCTTAGATACACTCCTTTGCAGAACCACAATTAGGACAAATAGGTAGATTTTAATTAATTATTCCATTATGTTGATCATCATCATCTGTTTTCGAGATTAACATATTAGATAATAATTTAATTCATTTAATTTATTTCAATTTTTCTAAAGGAGATCCTAAATATTTATTGTTGGAGAGAACTTAGGCTTAATTCTAATTTTTTATTGTAAAAGTAATTTTGTAATCTTTTTTTATTGTTCTACTATATTAATATTATCCATAGATGAACTCTTTTTAAAAAAATTGATTTGACATTTTCTTTTTTTTACTTTATTCTATGCTTAACTTTATACTAATTGAAAAAATTAAGTAAACGAATTGATTTCACTTGTATCATATAACTTAGTATTTAATTTTGTTTCATTTTATAATTAATATAATGATTGACATTTTTCAATATGAGGTTTTTTATCTGTTTAATTATTAAGTTATAATTAAGTTTTAATCATAGCAGTGCTATCCTTTTTTCCATTTACTTTTAAGATATCATATTATTTAATGAGATTATCTGACATTTTTTATACTTATCCACTATTTGATTCTTTTACTGAATCAATTTAATCTAATTGTTATTTAATTTCTATTGATTAACTTTTTGCTAATCTTTTTTTCTTATTTTAAGGAGTTTCTTCATACTAAGTGCGATTAGGACATATATTACTATTAGTCATTAAACTGTTGTTATTGTTTTTACATGATTATTCCATACTGCTATTAGTAAATGTATTTAGTTCTATATTTTTTAAAAATTTCCATTGATGTCCGATATGAGGTAATTTCAGATAGTTCGGAATATTATTATTAATTTTCATTTTTAATATTTATTACTTTTTTATTATTAAAATCTGCAATTAGATATTAAGAGTTAAGAAATTTATTACAAATTCAAAAATAAATTTCTTTTATTCTTAATATCTAGAATAATAAACTAAGATTATATTTAAAAGTAGAATTATATAAAATAATATAAATATCATAATTTGATTCAATACTATATAAAACTTGCATATAATTAACTATCATAAAATTGAGTAAAGAATTATTTATAATTTTTATAAATATATGAAGGTGATCCATTAAATTTAGTTTTATTCATTTCTTTTTTAGTCCAATTCTAAACTTAAAATTTTGATTACCTATGATGCATTTCTCCAAGTTATATAAATAAATGGGTTTAAGTGAATTAATGTTAAAACAAGGCTCACAATATTTAAAATAATGAAAGTTAATTCTTTCTTACAATCTGATACAAATACTACAATAATTGTACTAACTTATACATTTATAAATCAAAATAAGTAATAATAAGTATAAAGCTATCCCTGTGAATGTTACAAGTCCTAACAAATATTTTATATTTCTTCTGCCAATGCATGTTGCCATCAAAAAACAATGTGCTTCAAAATCATTTACACAATGATCACAAAATTTACAATGATAACAACGATTAATTTTAATGGCTTTACATTTTTCACATAATTTTCCATCAAAATATTTATTATCTGAAATCGTTTACATTTACACTCCAGGTTCTAAAAGTTTAATTTTTGTATTTTACCTGTCATATTCACTCTAAACATTGAGTATATTGATAATATCTGAAATGTTACAATTGCTTTACTTAAATTTGGGATTTCACAATATTTTTAAAGTAAAACAAAATCACAATATAAGTAAAGAAGAAGAGTCCCAGCCACCGTACCCAAAAATAAAGGATATTGAGTCTTATTAATCATATTTTATCATTTACCCTATTCCCTAAAACATAATTTTTTCGAACCCATAAATTTCCCTAATAATTTAACATCTAGAAATTTATTATTGCAGCAATTCATTTCATAATAAATATCATTTAATCTTGAATTCTTACAAATTAAAATTATTAGAACTTAAAAATTGTATTCAAAATCTTAAGAGAATCTAAATTTTAATTTTTTGCATAACAATTACTATAAATCAAAGTTCTTAAATAAATTATATTTCATAATTACTTATATCATTAAAATATTTCAATTTTACCCTTCTTCATCCTATCAAACAAAACTATTAACTAGAATTAAACATTATTACAAAAAATAAATTTGATTATCTTAAAAAAAAATACTTAAATTTCTGATCGTTTAACATTTTATGAAAACAACTATAAAATATTTTTAAATATATATAAAATATTTTATTATTCTTATCTAAAAAAATAAGAGTTCAAGAAAAATCTAAAATGACTTTTCTTCACAACCAGACTTGATTTAGGAGAAAAAATAAACATTTTAATTAAGAACTTAAATAAATTGATAATTTTTAAATAATTATATTTGCAATGTTTTCAAAGTATATCTGCTTTGATATGTACAAAAAACCTTCAAAAAAATTATTATAAAGTATAATTATTATAATAAAATTAGTTTTATTTCCTTAATTTCTATCATGACATAACATACCTGAGCAAAATGTGGTTATTATATAAGCTTATTTATAATAACCATATTTGTTTTTTACTTATTATTATACAATTTAAGGTTCTTGATCCATATTTTCATTAGTTTTTTAGCTTTCTTTCTAACAAATTCATTATTATTGTACAAAATTTCACTTTGTGTTACTAAAAACTGACTGCTCTCTGATATAATTCTAAGTTTCTGATAATACATTAAAACAATCTGATAATTTTATATTTTGTTAAAATTCAATATAATTATATATGCATTAATTAATATTTCTTGAATAATAGTCTTATCTTAATTAAAATGGTATTATTTTATAAATTGAAGGCTTGTCATTGACTTTTTTATTATTTTGATTGATTAAACTTTTTTTAAAATTTTCATATTTTATCATTGAGAATTATTATGTAGTTCTTCATTATAGTTTTTTGAGATTTAAAGTAATTAGAATTGAGAAAAATGAGAATCATCTTTCAATATTAGAAATTATTAAATAAAAAAATAAAGTTGATATATATAATCGATATTTTCATGTTTGTGGAATTAGATTATAAACTTTGATTTATTCTTTCATTTTAACTATGATTTGGCTTTAATATTGTTGTCTAATAGTTTAAAATTCATTTACGGGATCATAAATTTGATATCCATCAATGATCGCTTATTTTTGAGTAGTAACCAAAAGAGTGACTTTTGGTATAAAGATAGGAACTGAATATCTTCGAGCATGTTGATGCTATTAATGGGTTCCATTATATTTGTATTATAATAAATACTCGTCTTAATTTTCTAAGGAAAATTCAAAGCTTAGCATTTAGATAAAGTTTAAGACTTAAACTGCACATGTTAATATTATTCTCTAATCTATTGAAATGTAATCAACAATTTTTACAATAGTTTCAAACTATAAATAAATAACAAAAGGTTTTACTTCTGTATTTATGTTTTATAAAAATAAATCGAGTTTTCTATGTTAAATTTATTCCTTCAATTTATCAGTAACTACTTAGGATGTCATTTCTACATATGATTTAGTTAATAAAAATGATGGAAGTACTAAGATACCCTATTCCCATGTTTCATTAATTTAAATTTCAAATTTAGTTATCCAAATTTTAAAATCATGATGAACTCGATCAATTACTTCACTAAAGTATTTCTATTTAAATTATTTTTCAATTATTAATATTTGATCAATATTAGTCCAAATAATATATGGAGATTCATACATATATTTATTACTTTATCCGAATTTGGAAGATTATTCAGGATTAACAAAAGGAATTTTAAAATTCTTATTATTTGTATTCTCTATGTTTTTATGATATTTATAAGTTTGTTATCCTTACAATAATAATAAGTCTAAATCATTCTATTAATATATAAGTCCCATGTATCCACCAATCAAATATAAATTTTCATCATCACAAGTCAAGTGTTTAAAAATCTTTTCAACATTATTTGATAGATGCATAACAACTTTAGCAAAGACAGTATAAACATTTAAAACTAATTTTGTACTATTATTATTTAAGGATAAATTAATATCTTAAATCAATTAATTTATTTGATAACTATAAATAGTAAAATAAACTGATCCATTTTCAATATTTGTAGTAAGTAAGTATAGACTTTTATTAGAATAACTAACACACATTGAACATGGTTTTAGATAACCTTAATGCATACCTTCATCTTCTTTTATATTTACATATAAATAGATGTATCTAGTAAATTCAAAATTTTTAATTAATCCAACTATTTCATTATTATCTTAAAATATAATTCTTGCTTAATAATTTACATTATCTTATTCTTTATACAAGAATTTCATTGCTTTATGCATTTAAGCAAAAGGTTAAACAACTTAAGTTCCATTTAAAATAATATTATTAGCATCAATATTAATAATAGAGATTTTTCTTTTCATAAATATCTCTTATGATGATAAATTATTTGATATTTTGAGAGAAGTTAAACTTAAAATACCATAGGGAGAAAAAGGGTCAGTTTCTTCGAATTCATTTGTTTCATTATTGCATCTATAAGATTTTCCTAATATTTAAGTAGCATCATTTAAAATATAAATTTTGTCTTAATCGGAGTAGATATTTTAATTTTATGAGTAAAAACTTATGGGACTGATTTTTTATCCAAAATTAGTAATGGCACTCACATAATAATGATTATCAATTTGTTGAAATTTATATCCGATATATTCTTGTTATTCAATATTAACAAGTAATTCATTTTAGGATCCTCCAATAATTAAAATGGCAGATTCATCATTATCTCTATATAACTAAATTAAATATCTTACTATACACTTAACATTAATGAACCATACATAGGTCTCATAGATAATGGAACAATTTATTCTTTATTGATTTTTTCAGATCTGTAAGATTCTTCACAAATAAATAATCTTTCCACTAAATTACAAAATCCCATATTTTAAAATACTTAATTATAATGTCCTCTTAAATTATATAAAATATATACAGAAATGATCCTCCAAAAGTCCAAACTTCAGTATATGGCTTAGATTATTGACTAAAAGAAAATACAACAGAAGAAGCATATGCTCTAGCAAAATATGTGTCACTTTCTTTTTTTGTTTTTTTATCTCTATAAATAGTTGTAAATGTGTTCTAATTTAATTTAAAGTTTTATACTTTTTCAAAATTAAATGTATCAATTGAATCACGTAAAGTATTATTTTTTGCCTCTTTGCCATAAATGCAATAAACATTATTTTTTTATTTATCAAAACACAACGATCTAAAAAATACAGGTTCTGTTGTTTCATGAATAATTACAATCTCTGCCCAAATTTGATAGGTTTTTTATACAGGATTTAGATATTTTTCATAATTCACCTAACATACTTAGTATGCATTCTATTTTAATCTATTAGCTTTTAATAACATCTTACAATTCCAATATCTCTTATATCAATAAATGATAACACATTAATAAAAAGTATGCTTTTTAATTTGTAATTTACAAAGTATTAAGTTAGTCTGTTGTGGATATAAACTGGAGATTGTAATCTTCTTAGATATATTTATAACAATTAAGGTTCATCTATTAAATATAAGATTAAATTACTGTTAATCAAATTATCTATAACATAAACATAATCTTTTAAATCTTATGCCAAAAAAGAAACAAATTAAGAATCTTCTTTTATTTAAGTTTTTTAATGTTACTTTGATAATAATTTGTAAGTATGAATTTATTATTAAGTGGATTTGAATAAATTACTAAAAAAATGTTTTTCATGATATTAATATAGTTTTTTTAGAAGTTCAGCATAAGATAACTTATATTATAGCAAATCTTAACATTATAAATTTGGATCTTACATACGTTTATCCTTATCTTTAACTTCTTATAAATATGATTCTAAGAATAGTAAATTAGAATAATACTTCTGCATGATTCAAGAAAGCCTGATAATATTTCAAACATATATCTTTCTTTTTCTTTATTTAGAACAAAATATATAATATTGCCTTACTTTTTTTTTTCATAAAAACTATTACTCTTAACTATTTTCATAGCATTATTTGCATAATGTGATAATTCACAATGTTGTTAATTAGATGGATGTAAAAACTTAAAGCTTTGTTAAACATGAGTTATATAAATATTTAAGTAATATTAGATATTTTTATGATCAGTTTTTAAAAGTTCAATTTCAAATCTATGATCTTAAATTTAAACTCCTGATGATAAAATTCTGGGTAGAAAAATTACCTTATAATTACTAATCAATGATAGATGAGTTGTAATTTCTGTAAATAATTTAGAAGATAATTGGATATCTGATTCTTAATTAAAATATGCAAAAGAATAACTAAATATAATAACTTAAGGTTAGAATGATTTAATAAGTGGATATACTAATAAATCTAAGATATGTCTAAAATGCATATCATTTAATCTTTTTTAATTATGACTCTATCTAATAGGAATGATATAAGAATTTTTAGCTTGCATAAAACAAGTTTTATTTTTAGTTACTAAATCAAACATTTATGATTTGTCATCAGAATCTAACATTTCATCTAATACTGAGATATATTAACAAGAATCTGAATAATTATCTAATAATTTATAATTGAATTCAGAATCAAATCCATCCATATTTAAGAATGTAATTTTTGGGAGATATTATTTTTCTTTCATTTATTTGATTTCTTCTGTACCATCAGATTCTTCATCTAAAATTTATTCATAAAAATCGCATATTGATAATGCAAGTGGATGTATAAATGGATCTAGAATTTATAATGAAATATGTTTAAGTATTAGAGTTGAATTAAATTCTCCTTCAGTTACTTTATTCAATAAATCATAAACCATAATTATAAAATGTTGTAAATCAGTATTTTCACTAAGAAATTTCATTAAACTATCTTTTTAATGATCTAATTTTTTTTATTATTCAAAAAGTAAATGATGTTGAAATAGTGAGGTATGTTGTTCTATATAATTTAAAAAGTCTTAATTTTTCATCATTAAATTGACTATCTTTTCTCTTACAAGAGTAGTATCATAATGCATTACGTTACTGTTTTTAATAATATGAAATGGATTTGGTTGCTGAAATTTAAATTGTTCTTTACTTTAAAGTTATAATCAGCATATTAGAGAAAAAACTTTCTAAATAATTGAACTGCAACAACGGTGGATCTATCATCTAGATTTTCTGGCTGTAATTAAGCACCAATTTTAAGAAATCTTCCAGTTTTAGCATCATTATTAAAAGGTGAACATTTTGAAAACATGAAGAATAATTCTTATAATTGATTATCTTGATATCCTTCAGCAGGTTTACCAAACTCTTATTCTAATTGTATAAGATCTTCCTCATAACAATGACTAAATATCTATTCATATATTTTGCCTAAATTTACATAGAATTATCTATCTACTTTTAAACCTATATATTACATATAATCTTTAATACCTAATGTGTGAACATAACTTAAAAATATACTCCACTTTAATTTATCATCTACTGCTAAATATTGATTACACATCAATAATAATGGTTTTTCACCATTTGGATATAGTTCATAATTATATATACAAAGATTCTATGGTTATTTACATATAACAAATACTTTCTATTTCAAGTTATCAATACCAGCCACTATTTAAGCATCATTTAATGTTTAATTTAACATTATTATTTATTTATGAATGAATAAAATAGTAGCGAAACACTAAGTTTAACAAAATATGATAAATTGACAATTAAAAGAAATTCATTTCAAATTTCAGATATACCTGATTTTGATAATTCAGAAACTATATCATTAACAAATTATTCCAAAAATACAAAAATATCACGATCAAATTCTATTCCCTCTTATCATACTTTAAATTTGACTAATTTTACAAAATAAACTTTTGAAGTCTAAAGTATTTTTTATTTTATTATGGATAGATTTAAATGAGAGTGAAATAACCATTTCTCTTACAAAAATGACTAAATAGACATTATAAAAAGATGTTAATATTTTCGGTAGAAGATCATTTTGATTAAACTCAATGGATTTAAATTTACAAATTTTTACTTACATTCTCTTAGAAAAGATAATTGATAACATTAAATTGTTAGAATTATAATATTTTATATTTTAAAAGTATTTATTTATTATTATTGATAAATAATGTAATCAATAATATTATCCTCAATCAAGAAGTTTTATCACAATTCCAATTTAAATTTGGTAATTTTACATGGATTGATGGGATCTAAAAACAATTTTAAGACAATATCTCAATCTTAAATATTGACAAATCATTTGAATTCTACACATTTATTAGATTTAAGAAATCATGGAGAATCCCCTCATACTTAATCTATGACATTAGGAGAAATGGCAGATGATCTTTCATCATATATTTAAGAATATAAAGATGTAGTATTATTAGGACATTCTTTGGGTGGCAGAGTTATTTTTAAATATCTATAATAATATGAATAAGAAGTATAATAAAAAGTCAAAGGAGTGATTATTGTAGATATTTTACCAAAAGCTGTAAAATCAACTTATGTATATGAATTATTGAAAAAGTTAGTAAAAATAAACTTAAATTAAATCACTTACAATGAATTAACAGAGAAGGTATTTGAAGCATCTCAAAATAAAGCAATAACTTAATTGTTAATGACAAATATTTAATCACAATAGACTATAATGAGAAGTATTATTATTTAATTTAAACTAATTAGAGGATATTTAATATGATTTTAAATGGAGAGTTAATTTATAAGGGATATTAAATGATTTTTAAACCAATATTTTAACAGATTTAACAGCAAATTGGTAAGGTCCTCATTGTGTAATTTGTGGTGAAAATTCTTAATATGTTAATAAAGAGACTGTTCATTAAATGAGTTTGATTTTTCCAAATTTTAAAGAAGCCCATTTTATAAAAGATTGTGGACATTGGGTTCATTCTGAATAACCTCAAGCATTTATAAATATTGTTAGTTAGTTTATTTAAACATTAAAATGAAATAAAGAAATAAAATATATTGTGTTTATATTATAAAAATGATCATCATTCTTTTTTAGATTTGCTTAACCCTTTATCATCTAATTCTTATAATTTCTTTTTAAATAATGTAGGTAGAAGTGCAATTAATGATAGACCTATTAGAGTTAATATTGCCTAAATAGAATATTAAATAATATACTTAATAGCTAGTCGAAAAATCATTGAGTTCTTAAATTAAGAGTCCTGTTCTAATGTGAATAATATTTCCTGGCATTAATCCTTATGATAAGATGAAAAAATTACCAAACAAAGTGCCAAAAAAGAAATATTTAAATGGAAGACCAACAATAGGTCCTGATACATTGATTGAAACATTAGGAATTAATGGAGTGAATCTCAAAAATAGCATATAAAAAAATAGATTATCTCTATTCTAATTAATCTTTTTATTGAAATTAACAATTTGATTAGGAAATTTATTTAGTACTAATCCTCTTGCTAATGAATAGGATAATCCATAACATAAACTGGCTCCAGTTGTAGCACAGAAACAAACTAATAGAAATGCTGGAATTGGACCAAATAATTATCCTTTTTGAATGTAAAAATTGTATTACCTGAAAGCAAACTTAAAAACACAGGACCTGGAATGGCAAAACTTTACATAAAAATATAGAGGTAAATGAATGCAAACAGAACATAGAATAAATTATTATCTGAATATCTATTAATAACATCTAATAACTCTGCAATATGACGAGGATATTTAGGAATTCTATAAACAATTGATCTCTCAGTACTAATTAAAAGAAATTAGATTACTCTGTTAAATGTGGAGAAAAATGAACAAGTACATAAAGACCTATTAATCCAGTGGCAAATATTCCAAAAAGAATAAGTCTTCTTTATTTGTCATTTTTAATTTCTGCTTTAAGCTTATTTATATCAATTTCTGTACTCATATTATTTTAATTAATATTTTTTGCTGTTATTTTTAATTTCAATGGGAAATTGTGCAACATGTGACGATCCATCAATATATGAAAATGGAGGAGAATAAATGAGACCTTTTAAGAATAAACCAAACTTAGAAGATTAAGAAAATGTTCAATAATTGAGTTAGAAAAGTAAATTATCATAGAGTGCAGTTAAATCATAGAATGCTAGTTTTATAGTATAATAACATATTAGGTGATTTAATATAATATTAATAGATAAGATTTAAAGAAATTGGATTCAATACCTGATTTTACAAATGCTTATACAAAGCCATTAATAGATTAGTTATAACCATTCAATTATGATTAAAATGAGCCGTTTGAATTAAAATAATTACCTTTTTATGGTCCAGTAGAAATAGAACCAAGTGTATTTTACTATGGATAATGGAAGAATGGTTTAAGACATGGAAGAGGAAAATAATTTTGGGCAGATGGTTCTATATATGAAGGATATTGGTTATAAGATAAAGCAAATGGAGAAGGAAGATTAATACATTCAGATGGTGATTTATATGAAGGGAAATGGTTAAATGATAAAGCACATGGATTTGGAGTTTATAGTCATAAAGATGGAGCATTTTATAGAGGTGAATGGTATGAAGATTAATAACATGGAATTGGATTAGAAAAATGGGCTGATGGTTCAATGTTTGAAGGATCATATACAAATGGTATGAAACATGGAAATGGTAAATTCAGTTGGCCAGACGGTAGTTCTTATGTTGGAGAATTTATTAATAATAATATTCATGGTAAAGGACATTACATTTGGGCAGATAATAGAGAATATGAAGGTGATTGGAAAGAAAATTAAATGGATGGTCATGGAATATTTAGTTGGTCAGATGGAAGGTAATATTATATAAATTACAATTAATAGACGTTATGTTGGTGACTATATTAATGATAAAAAAGAGGGTTATGGTGAATTTTATTGGCCTGATGGTAGAGTTTATAAAGGATACTGGAAAGATGGTAAATAACATGGAAAAGGTTAATATAAGGGTACTAACAGAATATTAAAAGAAGGAGAATGGGTTGATGGGAAATTACTTAAATGGAATAACTGATATTATTATTATCTAAAAACTTATATTATAAATAAGTTTTATATAATTGTTATTTAAAAAAATAATTCGAAAGTCAATATTCCTTATCCCAATTTGGATCTCTTGCTTTTTCTGGACGATATACATTTGATGCAGTTGCAGGATCATTCTAATTTATTCAACATTTTTATACTTTTATTTCTTCAGATATTAATTTTCCAACTTATATTGCTTTCTATATATCTTTATCACTATGTAATTTATTTTTAGGTGGTAAATATGGAGGTTTCAATTCTCGATTTATTAGACTATCCTATTTTTATTTGAAAAAACATTTACATAATCAAATCTTTCAAAAAATGCATTATTTTTTAAACTTGCATATGATGAACCAAGTCTCAATTCTGGTGTCTTACTTAATAATTATTCTATTAATTTTTTAGCTTTTCTATCTTTTAAAACTGATGGAAAAGCTAATTATTTCTTTTAAATCTCTTCATAAATTTCATAACTAAACAATTTAAATCTACTGAATAAGTGTATCCTTTTCCTGTTAAAATCTCCGGAGCCATATAATGAGGAGTACCAATTATAGTATATGTTCTACCATTTTTACTTTTAAGATTCTTTGCAGTTCCTAAATCTATTAATTTCATAAATCCCTATTAA